TATATGTCATAATGTTATCAAGGATCTGTATTGCAGTGGGATGGATTTGACTTATTTCTTTCTTATCAGTGTCTATGTTCCATTCTTTTAAAAGTGGGAGTTACTAAGGTAAAGTGAACATCTCTGAAGGCAAGGGGATATTGATTCTACTGGAAAATAAATATATATCCTAGGGGAAAAAAAATGACCAGAACTAGCAAGATATGGCCAAGTGAAAGGATCAGCAAGAGCAAGTCACGTGCAAACTCAGAGGTTGCTGAGACTAGCAGAGAAAAGGTGTCTGTCATACAGTTGATGGAAAACTGGAATTTCAGGCTTGATAGCAGATGATTTTTGTAATTTCATGACATCAGAAAGGTATTATAAGATGGAGAAACTGAAAACTTTGTACCTTCACTTACAATCAGGAAAATTATATCTGAGTTGTTACGTGTCTGGGAGTTGGAGCTCAGTGAGACTCAAAACCCTGGACTATAAAGATTTTAAAGAAGATAGTGCATGAATCTGGGAGATGATATAGAAACTGGCAGAAAGTGCAACACAGGTTTGGAAAGTTGAATTACAACAGATTAATGTCACAACATTCTTCAATAAAATGTGTTTTTCATGAAAAAAAAAAAAAAAGATGATAAACACCATCAACCTGAATTTGAGTTTTATGTAGGGAAAAAGGCCAGAGATTAATAGAGGCATTATAAGGCGAATAAACAGCTTGTAACAGACAGGATGTAAATAGGTAATACTAAAAAGGAAAAGTATCAGACTGGTTATCAGCAGATCAAAGATCAGCCTATCAATCAATCTTATTTAATAATTTCATTAGTGATCTTGGCATGGATATGAGAAACTTAATAATGAAGTATGCCAAGGACTCTATGTTGGAAACATCAAGCAGCTGTTAGGAATATTTTAGAAAGAACTTGATGAACTTGAGAATTGCAGTAATAGAAATTAAATGTGTGTAACGTAGATGTAAAGTCACATACTTTGTGCTTAATAAGGAAAGGTTTTTATCAGCAGAGTTATCAGCTGAAAATTGAAATGGAAGAGAAGGACAAGAATTTTACAATAGGATGTCTATGAACTGCCAGCATTTTCTATATGTGAAAGAAAAATGCAAGTGTAAAATGCATCAGTTGATAAATTATTCACTAGAATTAAGGAAATATTACTTCTATCAAATATATTCATCAGGGTACAGTCCTGGTCAAACAAGTTTGAGAAAAAAGATGTCAAAGGGAATCAAGCAGAAGAAAGAGAGCACGTAGCCAAGGGATGGAAAGTGAGTTTTACAAGAGAATAGAAGAGAAGCTTGGCTCATTTAATCTAGCAAATGAAATCTAAGACTTGTAGGTATGCCACACAAGGGTAAGATAATAATTTAAACCAAAAATACCAGTGCCAAAACCAACTAACCAAAAAAACCTAACCAAAACACAGATGCATTTAACACAGAGATTTCTGTGTTTATAGAAAGGATATTAGTTTTTAATGCTACATCAAAGAGCTAGACTCAGTGAAATAAGCTATCCCTCTCAGGTTTGAGTTTACAAATGGAGTCAATAAAAATTTTAAACTATTGAATAAAACCATGATGGATATGTGTATTTAACAGTAACTGAATGGCAAGAATGATAAGCAGTTTTATACACTGAGGAAATTTTAAGAATATTTTATGTCATGGCTTAAGCCTTAAGTGATAGTAGTAGCCATGTAGAGAACTTCAGTAGGATATCAGAAATGCAGACTTTTGACAACTCTACAATGAATTCCATTCAAACCAGGTCTATTACATAAGCTTCAACTGTAAGATTTTTTTTAGAGTGCATTCTGTGAACACCTTGAAGTTTCTAATTTGCAGAGGAATGCACCTTTTTAATTCCTTTCATTTTGCTTTATATTTACTATGAAAAGAAAGCTAGAAAGGTAAGTCAACAAGATATGTAAGGATTTTATGAACAGAGTCATAAAGAAGGTCTGTAGGGGAAACAGTCATCTCAAGTAAGTTTATAGTGCTAAAATTATTCCTTTGCTAAAATTATTCAAAACGCTAAGCAATGCATTATTAACTGTATTCTGCTGGGTGCTACATAAAAACATTCTTCTAGTAGAAATAATGTTACCCACAACACACCAGTCTATAAATTGCAACCAGCTTTGTGAATGGTTATATGATTTGGGAAACATGAATCTGTGCTGCAGTGAGTGAGTTATTTTTTCTTTTTATGGGTTTGCTGAGAAATGAATGCATGAAAAATACAGGTGGAAATAAATTATGTCATGATGGCTTAATCTGATGGGATTGTCAAGACATTCAAAAAAGCTATGGGAGGAGAAGACAAGGTCAGAATACAGCATTTTCCTAAATCTGACAAATGTTAAAGGAAGTCAGGGAATCTATGTAGGTTTTATGGGAATACCAAATACATTCAAGTTATTTGCCTGGTAGTCTCCTGCTTGAATGTATGGAGCACATCTATCTCATTTAGGTGCTGTTTTATCTCCTTTGATCCTTAAAGGCAAGTCAAAACTCTTGTGGAAATAATGTATCCTTGGGAGAACTCTATTTACTCTCTGATTTCATACTGTCAAAATAGCTTTCCATCACCTTCCAGAATCAGGACCTTTGATTTATCCTTATGGTCTAAACAGAACAGATATGTCTAAGAGGCTGGAGTCTGAAAGAGAACATTGGACAAAGGATTCAAGTGAAAGCTGAATATATATTAAAGGAAATAGTCTGGGGCTGAAAAAAAAAATGGCATGATAGATTTGTCTAATAGATATTCCCAAGTAGATATGGTACCAAGGAGATATTTTCAATACATACATTAAAAAAAACAAACCAAACCAAAACAGGGAGATGAAGAATGTGCACAATGTGCACAACGTGCACAAGATTCTGTTGAATTAACCCTTTGTTTTATGTGTAATCTATCTTTTGAGTGAAATAATAGACATAGATTTGTTTTGAAGATACTAACACATATTTTTGAATGTATAATCCTAGCAGGAGGCAAGAACAGTGCTTTGTGAAATAAATATCACCTAGCCTGCGGGGAAAATCACTGCAAGGTAAGATTAGGGAGTAGGAATCTCCTGTGCCAGGGGCTTCTGAGACTGAACTTGAGTTGTTGGAGGAGTGGAGAAAAAGAAGAGCAGGAACAAGCTCACTAGATTTTTTTTTTTTTTTAACAGTCAGTCCTACTGTCCAAGATGAAACCACCTCCATTAGTTATCATTCTGCACCTATATATATCAATATATGTATTTTGAACATGTTCAGCTGATTGAATGTACATGGCTCATCTCTGAGCTAGACAGCATGGCCTCCTTTCTGTATATATAGTGACATTTCTACCTGAAAGCAGAGATCTAAATTGTATCAATCACATCTTAAAAGCAGTTATTTTTTACTTGACTACAAAAAGACTGTAGACTCTTGGACTCCAGTATAAGTATTTATATTTAGTTTTATCAGTCCCATTGCTGTGGACATTTGTGTTCAAACTTTGAAAAGTCCAGTATTTTTCTAACATAACTTTATTCAATCATATTTCTTAGTTAATACCATGAAGAGTTATGCTCTTAATTCTAACAATCCCTGTCTCAGCTCTTCATATAAAACAGTGTAACTGGCATTTTATTTAGTAATTCCAGAGTAACAATTAAAAACAAAAATTCAGATTTTTAATATCTGTCAGCATTGAGATGGAGTTAGCAATGCAGTAGTTACAACCTTGAAATAAGGATATGCATGGTGTTCCACTTAGCATATTCATATGAATATAAATAGAAGTAGTAAAAAAGCTTACATATTTTTATTATATGTTGATGTTTTATGTACTTAAAACCATACAGAAACTTTAAAACATGCTACTATGTGTTCTTTCTTTTAAAATTCTTTCAATATGATGCATATTGGCTTTTCTTGTAGTAACATTTGAAACAACACACTATATTGTTTTTTAGCATTTTGCTTGTTCACCTGAAACACTCCTGGTGCCACTATTGCTGCAAGCTTTTTAAAAGTAATGGTTAAGGGCTAGAAGAGCAAAGACAAGGACAAAACACCACTGCTTCAGGGCTCTATTCAATTCTCTTTAATCAGGCAGAGCTGCCATTGAAATCAGTGACAGCTTTGCTTGAACAAGAAGGAGCAAATAAGGATTTCAGTACTTCTAGTGTGTAACTTAACAATGTGCCCTACATGGCAGGAAAGGAGTACCAAAGGAAGAACAAACAGTTTCTCTCTGTTAAAAAGTCCTCTTTGTATCCCTTTATTCTGGAATTTACATAAAATTATGTAACTTTTTTGTGGAACATGTGTTTTTCTCTCCTTCTTCTCTGTACATATACAAACGTCCCATATGGTTCACCATGTATAGTAACTCAGTGGAAATCCCTTGTTTCTATCCCATTTGTTTTGCCAATTGACATGGTTAACACAAAGGACACGGACACCAAGCTAAAGAAATAGGCTTACTTCACTTTAGTTTAAAGCAGCAGAAAGAATAAGCAAGGTAATGCACCTAGTCATTACTACATAAAGCTAGCTATAGTGATTAAGAAAGATCCATCACCAATTGCCCTCATACTTTACCATCACCCCGACCCGTGCATCAGCTGGGGAGCCCCGTCACAGCGGAGGGTCGGAGAGACTTTCCCGGCAATTGGGAAGTCCTACACAGGGCGTCCGCTCGTAGGTGAGGTTTCCGTCTGTGCTGTGAGAGGGCCCGGCTTTTATGCAGTTTAACAAACAAATCTATACAAAATGCACGGGAGATATCTGGTAGATTGACATGCCTCACTCAGGCGTGTCCAGATCTGGCCAGGATCCAGGCATGTCTGAGGAGTTTCTGTTTTTCTTTACATTTGGGATTTATAGTTACTTCCTGTTGTTTACTTACAGTTTTCAGGGATTGTTCCCAGGGTTACATTTCATGCTGATAAGATGCTGGTTGCTTCATGCTGCTGATACGATGCTGGTTGCTGGTCGGGGCATTCACTCAGAAGTCAGCTTTGGTTTGAGGCGTATTGTTTGGGCCTTTTTTGTTTCACCTTATATCTCTTACCCAGTGCCATGTCCACTTTTGCGCAGGTGAGTTGTCTCATCTAAGCAACAGTCCTATCATGGCCAAAAGGGGAATGAAGAACCTAAATGAACTAATAACATGACCTAAGTAACTAAATCTAGTATAACTGAAGTATTCTGATAATTTACCCCATAAAATTATGCGGGAGACAGTTTTTAAATCTTTCTTCTAATAGGAAAAAAAATAATTTTTTTTTCTAAAATATATATTGAAGTCTGAGGATATTTTCCAACAGACTACTTTGAGAGCCATTGAGTCATGATATTTAAGTTACTTCTTTAGAGTACTTCCAACTAGTACCATGAGAATAAAATGCCAATTATTTATTGTCAGAAAATACAGATAGATAGCAACTTGGTACTCATCTGGGTTTAATATACACATTTCTGGTATCCTTATATTTACTCAGGAATATCAGGTATTCGTGAAAAATACAGTAACCATAAAACACTGAAAAAGAGACTCAAGTGCGAATTTCCATGCTCCTAAATATATCGTCCTCATTTACTGATATGAAGAGGCACTTGGCACTCTCTGGTGCAATAGAATTATAGATTATGCAGTTCTTAATCAGCTGTGTAATACACAAGCCTTCCTCACCCAATTGTACCAATTCAATTTAGGTCATGAAAATTGCCACAAGGCAGCCTTCCTCTTCTGGCATTGACTGACTGTCTGGAAAGCCGTGATTTTCTAGCAGTACAAGTCAGCAGTGACCTGCTGAGAGAGCTGGTGCAGCTTTTAAAAGCTGGTTCAGCACAAGAAGAAAAAGAGAGCTGACACTAACTGTAATTGTCAGAATCCCAAGAACTGTGCTTTTAAACATCTGAGAAAGATAAACTGGAAAGGGGAAAAGAAAAAATAGGAGAATGGAAAAAGTGGAAAAAAAAAAAAGATGCTTAAAAAATACAGAGAGAAAATAATTTTTTTAAAAAAAAAAAAAAAAAAAAAAAAAACACCAAGAAACCCAAAGAAAAAAGAAAGTCTAAAACTTAACTCCCTGATAAGAAGGTAGTGAAATATAAAGCAGCAAATAGAATCTGCTTGTATTTTAGAGACTGTCAAATCTTAGAGTAATGGGTAATACCTCTAAAGTAAAATCGATGTTTTAGGGTTAACACTGTATGGAATTGATATAAGTCTATTGAAATCATATGAATTTCTCTGCTGACCTCAGTCTGTATCAGTTGCAGTCTCCAGCAGGCACAGAACTAGAATAGTATAAAAAAAAAAAAAAAATTAAAATAACAGTAGATGAGAAAATACAAATTTTGATGGCTTATATATAACTACATGAGTTTTCTGAGGATGCTTTTATCCCATTCACTTGTAGTTTCACAAGTAATATGCACTCTTGTTTAACCAGTGTATGGTGGCAAAAAATAATTTAAGAGTACACAAAAAGATTAAACTTATTTTACCAAAGAAGCCACACACAATATATTAGCATTGTGCTTGAAAGTACATCTACAGCAATAAAGTACATGATAACATCCCTGAGTACTGGGCATTAAAGCGAGCTAATATTTATTTGCCCAGGTAAGCTAAAAACATTAGTAAATATGAACTGCTTATTTGGATATGATGTTGATGGATTTGGGAAGAAAAGTAAAAGGAAGAACAGGCTACAATGGAGGGCAGCAGGGGAGGAGAGGAAGAAATATTTAGGTTCGATGATTCAGCTTCTGAAGTTAAAGCAAAAATCCTACATATCAAAGATAGTGGATGAGTTCATAATTAGTCTGGTTTTCATTTTTGACTAATTATACCATAATAAGCACTAGACAAGATATCTTGGAAATCAATCTACTAAAAATTATTTTTTAAAATAGGAACTAGGTCAGATGAATGATTTGTGGGACACTGGTTTTCAGTGAGCAAGTTGTCCTGCCTCAAGGCTGATATCTTAATTGCATCTGTGTACCATAGTAGTTTTCCAAGATGGAAAAAAAAAAAAAAAAGTATGAACCTCTTGAGATCTCCTCTGAAACACAACATCCTAGAATAATGTTAATTACTAAAGGTAAAATGGATCTGAAGAGAGAATGGACTTTTATAATCTGATGCTGAACATTTGTGATAAACAGAAATAAGTAAACATGGAATGAAGGTAACGTTGAAATCATCAATCAACAAATCTAGTGATAACTGCTATAGAGGAAGACTAAAAAGGGTGAAAAAATAAGGTGAATTATCAGTTTCTGGGTTATTCTGGTGTACAGGCTTGAGTATTTAAATGAGAAGCTTATTCAATACTCTGGCTTCAGCACAAGGACTTTCAGAAGAAGTTTGATATGTATGTATAGATAGTAAAATAGCTGAATAGAAACTATTGCAGTTACAAGTGGTTGGTTGGTGAGCTTACATATGAAGTTGGAAATCTAGTGAAAAGAAGAGTTATCACTAAAGGATGCAATTTATCAAAGATAAAGTGGTGACGGTGTAATTTCTATGAGCAAGAGAAAGCTGACAATATGAAGAATTTTCTAGTCTTCACACTTCCAAAATGTGAAGAATTCTCAGGTTTCTATGTGGGTTTCTCTTTCACCCATTCTAGACAATTTGGAGTTTGAGTGAGAATAGAAAAGTGGTTCTGTCACCAAGATGCAATGTATTTGTTTCAAACTGTGAAAGTTCCTGCCTTAATTTACCTGTTTTCAAACTTCCTTTCACACCAGGTGCACATACAGTTCTAACAAAGGACTTCAGATGATGGTGGCTTCCTAAAGCAGAATGTTTATGTTCCAGAGTCAAGTTTCATTATCGAAAGGAAGACTGAATAGAATGGTCATTCTGCACCAGGCCAAAGGCCATTCTTGACCCTGTCTTGTGCACTGGCCAATACAAATTGTCACATTAGGAATGGTCTCCTTAGTGCCACATCTCAGCTTTCCTATATCTTCAGCAGTGCAACACTCGCTCTCCTCCCTTTTTTTTTTCAGTTATTGTCCCTTGTGATCATTTGGTTTCCCCCAGTTGTCTTTTTCTGCTCTTCATTTGGGGACAGAAGACATTTAATATTTTGGTGAGATGATCTACTGTGTGTTGCTGCTTGTCATCAGTAAGAACTCTGGCCATTAGTAGTGGGGACTGTCAAGTGTGCCCTGCCTAGTCCCCTACCTGGTACTTTTTTTGGGGGGGTGGGGGGAGAGTTGACCTTCTTTGTCCTCGTGTACTCATTGTTTGCTCAGCTACAGGGAAAACCAACAAGAACACTGATTGATGAAGGTGTCTAGGTGAATAAAATTTGGAGCCAAAGTAATTTGCTGGGATTGTAAAGAACAACAAAGGTACACTATCCAGGAGGTAAAAATATTTAGGTAAATGTTGTGGTTTAATCCACTAGGCAGCTAAGCACCACACAGCCACTCTCGCTCTTCTGTAGAGGAATGGGAGAGAGAATCAGAAGGATACAGGTGAGAAAGCTCCTGGGTTGAGATAAAGACAGTTCAATAAGGAAAGAAAAATCTGTATACTCAAGCTAAACAAAATAAGGAATTCATTCACTACTTCCCATGGGCAGACAGGGGCTCAACCATCTCCTGGACAGCAGGGCTCCATCACATGTAATGGTGACTTGGGAAGACAAATGTCATAACTCCGAATGCCCTCCCCCCCCCCTTCCTCTTCCTTCCTCCAGCTTTCTTTGCTGAGCTTGATGCCATATAGTGTGGGATATCCCTTTGGTCAGTTGGGGTCAGCTGTTCCAGCTGTGTCCTCTCCCAACTCCTTGTGCACCCCCAGCCTATTCACTGGCAGGGCAGCATGAGAAGCAGAAAAAACCTTGACGCTGTGCAAGCACTGTTCAGCAATAGGTAAAATATCAGTATGTTATCAACACTGTTTTGGTCACAAATCCAAAACATAGTCCCATAATAGCTACTCTAAAGAAAATTAACTCTATCCAAGCCAAAACCAGTACTCTAGACTACAGCTTCAGCCAAGTGCTTTTGTAGGACAGTACCAAAAACACTGGCTGCAGCTTCTCCCACCCCTACTAATGATTTACAGACCACCAATAAATAACACTGAGTTTCTAAAGTTTTGGTATGAACTAATTATACCAGATCTTGGCAAAGAAAACTGATGTATTCCTATTCTGACTAGAATGGATGAGATCTGTCTTAGATCTCACAGGAACTGACATTTCTAGAAGTTTATTTAAAATTTTTCTTCATTTTTGAAAACAAATTAGGAGAAAAACATACAAAGAACTTTTGGTTCCCCAGTGTTGAACAGAAAAATGTTTTGGTAGAAAAAACAGAAGAGAGAAGATGCTGTAATGGTTAAACCAAATACTTCTCTTTATACATTCTAAGTTACTGAGGCTGATATAATTTTAAACTTCATAATCGGCAGACCTGTCATGATTGGTAACTGTCTACTGGTATATCTTTAGCCTGTCCAATATATCTTTGGTATTAACTAACCAGTCCTCTTCACAGTTAATTGAAAATATTGCAACTTTTTTTCCACTTTACATGGAAGAAGCAATTGTGATAACTTGTGAATATGTGAGATATCTGGGGACTATAGACACTTTTTTGGGGACTATAAGGGATGCCACACTGCACAACACATGATTAAGCAAAGTGGAACATTGTGGGTTTCTCTACAAACTGATTGTAAATGTAAGTCATAGTGTAGTGACCGCTTATGTCTGAGGGTATTAAAAGCAGAAAGGAACCAGCAAGCCAAGAGAAGCAATCATGACTAGTACTGAAAAAAAAAGAAACAGTGACAGAGCTCCTTGGTAAATTTGCTGGTAAAATATGTGTGGCAATCATTAGGTGGGTATTGTTTGCTGTTTGTTCATGCTTTATTCAAGGAAAACAAAACTCTGGTGCAATACTGTTCTTTCACAATGAAGATGTGATAAAGAAATGGCCAACTCAAATGACTTCTACTAACAACAAACTGGCAGTCATTCAAAGTTAGCTAATCACTTTGGCCATAAGGAACAATAGTTTTCTTTTGTTGTGTTTTAATTACTCTATGGAAGAAAAGATTTGAACTTAAACTTCTGTCATGATGTAACCCCAGCCAGCAACTAAGCCCCACACAGCCATTCAATCACTGCCCTCCAAGTGGGATGGGGAAGAGAATCAGAAGGGTAAAAGTGAGAAAACTCATGGGTTGAGATAAAGACAGCTCAATAGGGAAAGCAAAAGCCATGCAAGCAAAGCAAACCAAGGAATTAATTCACTGCTTCCCAGGGGCAGGCAGGTGTTCAGCCATCTCTAGGACAGCCAGGTTCCATCACGTGTAACAGTTACTTGGGAAGGCAAACACCATCACTGCAAACGTCCTTCCCCTTCCTTCTTCTCCTCCCAGCTTTATATGCTGAGCATGACATCACATGGTGTGGGATATCCCTTGGGTCAGTTGTGTCCCCTCCCAACCCCTTGTGCACTTCCAGCCCACTTGATGGTGGGGTGGGTTGAGAGGCAGAAAAGGCCTTGGCTCTGTGTAAGCACTGCTGAGCAGTAACTAAAACATCCCTGTATTATCAACACTCTTTTCAGCAAAAATTCAAAACATAGCCCCATACTAGCTACTATAAAGAAAATTAACTCTATCACAGCAAAAAAACACACAACTTCCTAAAGTTCAAAGCTGGCACACAAATATATATATGTAATTTATAACCATAAAACTTGCTCGTGGTTGAATGTGTCGTCAGGAATTGTTAGTCAACAACACTACTTTCAAAAACAGTAAACTGTGTTATCGTGCAGACTTCAGCTGAAGAAATAATCAAATATATATTTAGCTTGATTCATGTAGTCATTTTTCTATCTATGCAATATATTTTCAAATCACAGCTTATTCAGATTTATTAATTATTCCAACATGTTTCCCAAATACCTTATGAAATTGTACATTACTTGAAATAAAAATAAAAAAGTAGAATCCAGGCATATCTGGTTCACAGCTACCCCACACGTCTGAAATCTTTTGTCAAGAGAACTGTCTGAACTCACTCATTCAAAATGGGGTTAACGGGGAAACCAGTATCAATAAACCAGCAAAATCCCTTTTACACTTTTTCAGAATGATCAACAACTCTGAACAGTATAATTCATTGTGGACAAAGATTGTCAGCCTGCTGATATCAATAGCTAGGCTGGCAGAAGAAAATATCCACAAAAAAATCAATGGATTAGAAACTGGTTATTTTAATCTCTGGGTGCATACAGATAATCCAGTG